GGGGGCCTGTCTGAACGTGCCCCGCTGGAACGTCATGCCAGTGGAGGACTGGGGACTCCGCATGCACCCTATCTGCCCCTCCTATGCCCCCCCAATCGCCCCATGCCAAGGTGTGGGCAGCAGGCACAGGAACTAGCTCTATGCCACGGGAAAGAACGCCACGCTGGCCAGAACCTGGCCCCTCTGCACCGCCTGTCAGTCTGACCGGGGACCTCCGTTCTCCTTGCTCTGACGTGGGCTTGTGCAGCTGTGTCCTACGCTCATCTTGCTGTCTCCTAACCCCCCCTCGGGTGGCCTAGCACACAGGGCCCTGCTCCCGGCAGCCCGCCCCGCCCCGCCAGCAGGGGGCGCTCTGAACTCACAGTACGCGCGTTCGAGAAGAGCACCACGCAGACGATGTGGCGCCGGTAGTTCTCGATGAACCGCTTGAATTGCTGGACCTTCTGGTGCACTTTGCTCCGCTGGTATTTGGTCCTTTGGGCCTCGGTGTACAAGTGCGGCTGGTGAGGCGTCGTCCTACGAAAGAAACCTTGTCAGCTCCCGGGGAAGTGACCGTGGCCCCGCTCCTGCCCGCGCGGGGGTAGAACGTCCTCAGGGCTTCGCTCAGTCATGGAGCCGTGCGGCCGGTCCTTAGTGCCGCTGAGCGTGCGGGTTCCCTGGGGCGGAGACGCTTTCGCTCCGCGACAGAGCACCCGCTAGCGGTTGGCTGGGCTGGCGCCTCGGCTCACTGCTACACTCCCGCTCGGGAACGAGAGCAGCGAGACGATGCAAAGGTGCATCAGGCAACGGCAGCCGGCTCTCCGGGAAGGGGCAGCCTCGCTAGGGACTGATAACGACTCACAGGTACTTCAATCAAGGCAGATAAGATACGTTTTAAAGCGCGGCCATAAAAGGCCGTTAATCCCAGGAACTGGAAAGTCCAGAGACAGCAGCAAGGACACGGCAGACGGCTGGGCAGCGAGACGATGCAAAGGTGCATCAGGCAACGGCAGCCGGCTCTCCGGGAAGGGGCAGCCTCGCTAGGGACTGATAACGACTCACAGGTACTTCAATCAAGGCAGATAAGATACGTTTTAAAGCGCGGCCATAAAAGGCCGTTAATCCCAGGAACTGGAAAGTCCAGAGACAGCAGCAAGGACACGGCAGACGGCTGGGAACGGCGTCCCCCTTGCCGGGGGCTTGGGACAGACCTCGCTTAGAACTGCCCCCACCCCAGAGCCAGGCCAACAGCAGCCATTCCGCCAAGGGAGACGTGTCTCACAAAATGACTCCTTCCCTGGCTGGAGGTGGCCACTGAAATGGGGAAGGCTCCCCCCGGTGTGAGGGGCTCCTCTCCTGGGGAAAGGGCCTCAGAAACCAGAGCGGGGAGGCTCTTTCCCCTTCCCCCGCAAGGTGGGGAGGAGGGACTGCAGCAGCTGCAGGCCTCAGGGTCCAGCTTACCCGTTGGTCCTGGGCTTGTTTATGAAGGAGACGCGGTTGTTCATGTTTGTCTTGAACACGTCAGGCACTCCTGTGTGGAGCAGAAAGCACAAACGTGGGACACGGCGACGAGCGCAGAGCACTAGCATGGGGAGGGGCTCTCCAGTCCAGTCCCCTGCCCCCACGGCATGGCCCAGCACCGTCCCTCCCTGACGGGCGTCTGTCCAACCTGCTGCCCCATGACGGAGGTTTCACGGCTTCCCAAAGCATCTTACTCCAGCGTTTGACCACCCTGACAGGCAGCAAGTTCTTCCTAATGTCCAACCTAAACCTCCCTGGCTGCAATTTAAGCCCATTGCTTCTCATCCTGTCCTTAGAGGTCAAGGAGAACAATTTTTCTCCCTCCTCCGTGTAACACCCTTTGGGTATGTCTACACTACCCCGCTAGTTCGAACTAGCGGGGTAGTGTAGACATACCCTTTTAGATACTTGACAGCTGCCGACTTCACCCCTCTAAGGCTACATCTACTCTGCAGCAGTGTTTCGGAAGAGGAAATGCAAACGGAGCGCTCGTTTGCAAACCTCGTGCTCTCATTTGCATATTCTCCTCCGAGCCTTTTTGCGGAAAAACTCTTCTGCAAAAAGGCTCGGAGGAGAATATGCAAATGAGAGCGCTCCGTTTGCATTTCCTCGTCCGAAACACTGCCGCCGTGTAGACGTCGCTTTTCTAAACTAAACAGGCCCAATTCTTTCAGTCTTCCTCCATGGGGTCCTGTTCTCTAGACCGTTCATCCTTTGTGTTGCTCTTCCCTGGACCCTCTCCAATTTCTTCACATCTTTCCTGAAACGTGGTGCCCAGAACTGGACACAAAACTCCAACTGACGCCTAATCGGCGCGGAGTAGAGCGGGAGAACGGCTTTTCGGGTCTCGCTCACTGCACTCTGGCTAGTACGTCCAGAATCGTGTTGGCTTTTTTTACAACAGTGTCGCACTGTTGACTCATGTTTAGCTGGTGGGCTACTCTGACCCCTCGATCCCTTTCTGCCGGACTCCTCCCTAGACTGTCGCTTCCCGTTCTGTGTGCGGGACACAGATTGTTCCTTCCTGAGCGGAGCACTTTGCTTTGGGCCCCGTGCTGCGCCCAGGCTCTCCGCTTGGGAGGCAACGGGACCCTGTCACTAGGGCGCCAGCCTGCTCTGCACAAGGGTAGGGCCAGCGGGTGGAGTCTCCGTAGCAGAAAGCACCTTCCCCACCTTGTAGCACCTGGGCTGCAGGAGAAGAGCCGCTGGAGGACAGACAGGGGCTCTGGGCCAGCGCCCCCAGCCCTGCCTCCGGGGCCAGCCCCCCAGCCAGGTCGACCTTTGATGCAGAGCTGGGTGAGGCGGAGCTCGTTGTCGTGGTCCCGCAGCATGTAGTGAAAATCCTCCCATGTCAGCTCCTCCTTGTCCTGGAAGCCCGACACCTGGAACATGGACTCACTCACCTGCGCGATCTGCTCGCCCGAGAGGCAGTTGTTGGAGATCTCGATGAAGGACCTGGAGCAAGGGGCAAAGGCGGCGCTGCAGGGCACTGCCCTGGCTCCAGGGAGCGCCCGGGCCTGGCAGGGCGAGGAGCAGCAGGCGACATCCACCTGGCGGC